TCGGCCATCACCTTGATCAAAAAGCGCCTTCGCGCGCCTCTCTACCGCCACCTGGTATGTCCCTCACATATTGCATATCTCAAACAATAACTAACTTGTCTTGCAGCCGACGACATCTTCATCAACATGCAGGACATGTCCCAGCCGCGTGTCCTGGCCAAGCCTGCTTAGGTACCTCATCATCCGTTGGACGCGTTGCGCGGCGAACGCTGTCGTTAGCTTTTTTTACGTGTTTGCATGTTCCTTCCTTTGGTTCTCTTTTTCACGTATCACATTTCCTATAATGCGCTGCAACTAGCCTCAGGCTCCCATGACTATAGAATCAACTATGCGGTGCAATATACGATGTCCGGCATTGTTTGGTGACCCTCTCTCACGTCTGGAAATCAGAATAGTTACTAGTTGTGTGCGTCAATCCCGGTGTTAGCTGCAAGTTTGCGTGGCATGAGGCTGGTTTGAAACAGTGTTGTCACGCGTCACGCGTCACAAGTGCGTCCTGAGACGCGTCGCGTCCCGTCACAACTTGTTCTCCACCACCTTCTGCTGGCAGTGACTACATATGCATCGTGTGTGGACCATCCTCAAAGTCGTACAGCAGATTGCCCATTATGTTGCTGAGAATGGAGACCTCCACAGTATGATGTTGACTTCGCGCATGTGCTTTGATACTGCAGCGCCCCTCCTATGGAGAAGCCTTGGCGCTCGAGAAGTCGAGGAACTGCTGAAGATTCTGTATGTGGACTGGGAGGTTAATGGCAACGTGAGTGTGGTTTTCTCATACCCTTTATAGTACTCTGATCTGATTCCAGAGCATCTTGCCATCAAGCTTTGGACGATTTACTCTGTATGTGGCATTCGCGCGAGCCATTAACATTGACAGCCACTGCCTTGCCTGCCACAACGATAAAAGCAACATCAAGAAGTTCGACTCCCCACGCCATCTCAGGCTTGCCATCGATCTCTTCTCGTCTAACATGGAGTACTGGTTCCCCAACTTACAGTCGCTTCAAGTTTCACTCACCTGTCCAGATAGTTTGGAGACACTCTTTGTAGCTACCCAATTCATCGTCCCTTCCCTCCGGAAGGTTGAATTGTTCATTTCTATTTGGGAAGAAACTGAAAGCGATGAAACCTGTATCCCTTTCGCAGTGGATGGACTATTGCGCCGAATGTGCCGCACCGTGAAACATCTTGGCTCGCTGTCGTTCACCGGACACCCTTACGAGCGATGCTGGGTACCCGTTTTGACCACTTTGATTCCAACGAATCCTCTCACGTATCTCTGCATCACTTCCGTTATGTTATCTCAATCGATGGCTGCAGCAATCAGCAGCAGTGATGTCAAGACCCTGGAGTTGGACACCTTCGACCAAGGTTTGGTAGAACCGCCTCTATTATCAAGCTTTCTCAGTTTCCCCCGGCTACGAAGCCTTGCCATTACTGGGGTGCCGCCCGTTCTCCTCAACTTGCTCGAATTTCTGGTCGCTGGCCTTCATCACATTACAATCTCGATGAACTCACGATGCGCGCATCCCATAGAGAGTGTGCATTAGAGTAGGGATGCGCGTTAACGCTCTTCACACTCTCATGTCACAAGTACGAGAGGCAGGAAAGAACCGTCCCGTGATGATATACAAAGGTAAAGGTCGAAATCCCAGGTCTCATTCTCACTCTACTGACCTCCATTATGGGCGAAGTGGGAGGAGTGCAGCTCACTGAGAGAGACGTCTTCTAAAAGTCATGGATCATTCATTCATTTTTCTCTTTCTCATGCTAATTGCTAAACCCATACAAATGATTCAGTCATTTCTTTTTGCACAACACCAAGTCTTATATTGTCGTAGAACCGTCAGCTTTGCAACCACTTCCGGCATCAGATCCATGAGACTGGATCAAGTCATTTCCTGTTCTTCTGGTACCAGTGGATTAGACCGGTAGTCTGAAGTACGATTCGAGTGAGGAACATAAGCATTGGTCAAAGAAGATCAAACGTACGGAAGAATCATGACCAGAAACCTTGGCTGGGTCGGGGAGCTGAGCCAAGATGCTCTTAGCGAGAACTTTACCCAATTCGACACCCATCTGGTCAAAGCTGTTGATGCCCCACACCACACCCTGGGTGAAAATCTTGTGCTCGTACATGGCGATCAGGGCGCCGAGGGTACCCGGAGTGAGCTTCTGGAACATGATGCTGTTTGTCGGGCGGTTGCCCTCGAAGACTTTGGACTTGACCAGCGCTTCGTTCGTCGAAGCCGCGGGGCCGAGATCGCGGCGCACCTCTTCCTCGGTCTTACCGAACGCAAGAGCCCTGAATTATTTATCAGCACGTGCAATATAATGAGCTGGTGGAAGACTCACTCAGGCTGGGCGAAGAAGTTGGAAAGCAGGATCTCGTGATGCTTGCCATGGGCGATAGGGTTCTGCGACTCGACGGGGGCCAGGAAGTCGGCAGGAATGAGCTTTGTGCCCTGGTGGATGAGCTGGTAGAACGAGTGCTGGGCGTTAGTACCGCTCGTACCCCAAATGATCGGCCCCGTCTGGTAGTCCACGCGGTGTCCGTCCTTGGTCACGAACTTGCCGTTGGACTCCATGTCGCCCTGCTGGAAATAGTCGGCGAACTTCCACATGTACTGGTCGTAGGGGAGGAGGACGTTCGTCTGCGCGCCGTAGAAGTCGTTGTACCACAGCCCGACGCAAGCGAGGAGCACGGGCAAGTTCTCCTCCAGAGGAGCGGTCTTGAAGTGCTCGTCCATCGCCTTGGCGCCAGCGAGGAGCTCGAAGAAGTTGTCCGGTCCGAGCGAGATCATGATGCTAAGCCCGATAGCGGACCAGAGCGAGTACCGCCCACCGACCCAGTCCCAGAACTTGAACATGTTCGCCTCACTGATACCGAACTCAGTGACCGCCGGGGTGTTGGTGGATAGGGCAACGAAGTGCTTCGCGACGTGAGCCTTGTCTTTAGCGGTGGCGAGGAACCAGTCGCGCGCAGAGGTCGCATTCGTGATCGTCTCTTGTGTGGTGAACGTCTTGCTGGCAATGATGAACACCGTCGTCTCGGGATCGCACACACGGAGAGCCTCAGCGAGGTGGGTGCCATCAATGTTGGACACAAAGTGGCAGGCGATGTCGCGCTGGGAGTAGCTCTTCAGAGCCTCGGTCACCATGACGGGTCCGAGATCAGATCCGCCAATACCGATGTTCACGATAGCGGTGATACGCTTGCCGGTGTAGCCCTTCCACTCACCAGAGCGGACCTGGTTGGCGAATGTCTTCATGTGCTCAAGGACCTCGCCAACCTCGGACACACCCTCCTCTGCGAGCTTCAATCCGGGGTTGCGCAGCGCCGTGTGGAGGACTGCACGGCCCTCGCTCGTGTTGATATGCGCACCGGAGAACATACGGTCGCGTTCGTCGGGCACATCTGCCTCGCGCACAAGGTCGAGCAGCGTCTTGAGGATCGGCTCTGTGATCAGGTTCTTGCTGTAGTCATAAAGGATGGAGATGGCGGGTGTGCCGATAGGAGCGGTGAAATGGCGTGAGAACTTGGAGAAGCGGGAGGGATCAGCTGCGAAGATCTCCTTGAGGATAAGCTGGGGATGCTCGATCAGCGCTGCCCGCTTGGCACGGGGAGAGGGCGCACCTGGTTACGCTGCGAGTCGTAGATCTGCTGGAGTTTCTTCCAGCTCGGGTAGTTGGATGCGAGTGTACCGGGCATCGTGTTCTAGAGAAGGAGACAACGAGCTCGCAGGTGGTCGTAGAGAGATGAAAGCTGGATGTATGCGGTGAGCGGCGTAGAGACCCTAAGAAGGCTGAGAGCGCACGTTTATGTATATATGCTTAATCTGTCTTCGCTCGTCGATTAAGGTGTGCTGTCGCGCTGCTGGCGACCGTCGAGGTAAGCTTGCTGACCGGGAGAATGTAGGGAAGACCATGCTCACCGTGTTGTCTATCACGTTGGTGGTGTTTGCACGACGACGACGACGGCTGATAACGCCGCGTGTGATGACGACGTTGTCGGCCTTCCCGCGGACGTAATATCCGCACCGGACCGGCGACGTCGGCCAACTATCAACCATTCACTTGTTTACGAACGCTGACGGCGAGGATAATGACTGTTCGCACCGGCATATAATCAAGATCAACATCAATACCTTCTTAACAAGGCGACTATAAACGCGTCTTAGGCGCTGCTTTCCTCTATCTGCTCTCGCACTTACTTTGGGATTCTCTTGTCACGACGTCCGGGGAAAAGCCTTACCTTCTCGACGAGCTCGATATTTCTGGCTGAATTTGTGCTCGAGGGCACGGAGACGCTGGCAACACCTCGGTTTTCCGGCGTTTCTCTCTGCACGTCTTTGTTGGGCAGTGACACTCCCGAGGATCATAGGAGCATCTGAGAAAAACTGTCGACAACCACTCTCTACCTGATCTCGTATTCACACGCATCTCTAATGTCCTCGACACCGACGTCTTCCCCTGCCAACCCTCAGTCACCACGACCGCCCTTTCTCCCCGTCCCACTCTCCGACTCTGAATCTACGCTCATCTCCTCCCTTCACCTCCAGTACACCCCCATCCTCTCCGCCCCAGCACCCTTCCCCCTCCCCTCCTTCTCATCGACCATCACCGCCCTCCTCCAACACCCCGAACGCACAGGCCCTCTCATACTCCGCGCCGAGCCGCTCCCTCCACCTGTCCCCCCAATCCCAGGTTCGACAGAGCTCTTCAAAGGTTGGAGACCCGTCGAGGTAAGCCGACGAAGGCTCCTCCCCAGAGTGCCGGAAAGGGATGGCGAGCTCATCCAGACCTGTGTAAGGTATCGGAGGAGTAACGTCGGCGAGAGAGGGGAGGGGGAGATGCTCGTGCTCACTCCCGAGCTCCTCGAAAGCGCAAGTATACCATACTACCACCCAGACGTCCAACGCCTAGCTCTAATATACACCTCCTCCCCGCTTTCTACAGAAGACGGCGCAGAAGCACACGGCCAGATCCAGATCGAAGTCGTCCTTCCCCCCTCTGCCCCGTCCCAGGTCTCCTCAAACTCACGGCTCTATCGCACCTGCCTCCACCTGCTCGAAACGACACACAAGCATTCCTGGGGTCACCTTTCCGGCTACCGCAAGCGTGTGCGACACGACGTCCTCCTCCCCCGAGCGGAGTATCAGGACCTGTATATGCGCCTTAAGCAGAGGCACAAACATCATGTGTCCTCTTGGAGCCTCGGTACTGACCCGAGGAAACATGTTTTCGAGGTGAAGAAAGCTGAGCTTGTGCGCTTGGCTCTCGTTCACTGTGCGTGCATGTACTGACGGAGGGATATAACAGGACGTAGCGATCGCGGCGTTTTTGATGCTTTTGTGGAAACTGGACTATCCGGCTCTGGGCGTGCCTAGGGCGCCGCTGCTCGTTGGTGAGAACCCGGAGCGAGAAGAACGATGTGAGTGGAGTACCTGGGGCCGTCCGGAAGGGGGGTTCGTAGACCTCGGGTGTGGGAACGGGCTCCTCGTCCATATCCTTCTGCAAGAAGTACGCCTCCTCCCCCTTCCCTTCCTGGGCAAGCTAACACCGCACAGGGGTACGAAGGATACGGTATCGACCTTTCCCCGCGGAAGACCTGGGCTTCGTTCTCCCCTTCCACCCAAGCTCATCTCCACGCAGCGGCAATTTCCCCCCTCTCTTCGCCTCCCGTCTCCCCGCCCCTCCCTCCCGGAGCATTCTTGCTTGGCAACCACGCCGACGAGCTCACGCCCTACGTCCCCCTCTTAGCAACCCTGCACGCCGCCAGCGGGTGGCTCGTCATCCCTTGTTGTGCATATACGTTCACGGCCCGGTTTACGGCGACGTCGTATCGCTCCAGGCTAGGACGGAGCGAGGTAGAGCAGAGGATGGACGAGGGGGGAGAGGGTGGGGGAAGAGTAAGGGCGTATTTGGTCTGGCTGGAAGAGATGGGGAGGGGGTTGGGCTGGTCTGTTGGGCTGGAGGCGCTTCGGATGCCTAGTACGAGGAATTGGGGACTGGTGGGCCGGAGGGCCGTAGATGGGCTGGAAGAGGATGGCGAGCAGCTGGAGATAGATGGCGAAGGGCAGGAAGAGAGAGGAGCGCGGAGAGTGGTTAGTAGGGAGGAAGGACTCCTTTGGGCTAAGGAGAAGCTGGAAGAGATCAGGTGTTCTGGGGGATTTCAGGTCAGGGAGGGGAAGGGACACGGACACCATTAGCCTTCATCCGCGTACAGTAGCGTGGGCATGTAAGTGACATTAGTAGATACAGTCGAAGTTGGGTATCATGTTCCACCCGATATAAATGCATAAGAAATCGCGCAGTCATCCTCAAATCTCACCACCGACATCCCCTGCCCCCTCCAGCAGCCATACGACAACAACAGCAACACACCTCCCCGCACCCCACCGGATCTTCCAGCACACTGTCGTCCATCGGACCGTAGATCCCGGCAGTGCCCTGCAGCCTCTCCTGCCGTAAACGCCGTTCTTCTATCGAGAGCTCGAGAGACTCTTGCGTAAGCGCACAAGGGGGACAGAGGAGCGTCGTCAAAGTGTCGGTGCACGAATCCCCGGGGATGTTGTATCTTCCCCCTCAAAATTAGCCTGGAACTCCCACTCCCGGAATGAGAAGAACGTACCTCTCCCGTATCCCTCTCCTCACATTACCCTCCAATACCCAACCCCAGCACCCCACAGCCGTCAACAGCGCATACAACCCACAATTCCCATCCCACGCACTCGTCTCCCTCCCCAACGGCTGCCCCGTCCCTGAGAGATGTCGGAGCCTAGCCCGATTCCTGCTATAAACCCAACAAGGGCATACTAGTGCCGGGCAGCCTACCCAGTATCAGAAGGTGCAACAGAGAAGAGGCAAGAAGCGTACAGATATCGATCGCCCCGCAACACCCGAAGAGTCCGGTATGCCACTCAGCTCTCCCGTTCCTCGAGGGGTGGTACGTCGGTGGCTGGAGGAGCCGTGGTGGGAGAGGAAGCATCTCCTCTTTCCGCTGCGGTTGAGCGTATACCGGGGTTGGGCGAGAAGGTGGTTTTGACATTGGGGGTTTGATGGGTGGTGGGCGGGAGATGCCATGCCAGCGCAGTAGGTATTTATGCTCTTTCCCTTTGTGTGGAGGGATAACGCATGTCAAGCGCCCATTGCCCTACCGGGAAAGCATTGTATACCATCGTGTATGAGTCATGAACACATGTCTCACATCCTTTCGTCATGGAATGAGCGTCTAAACCCGCATCGGAAATGCGCCTCCAATTTCCTCTTTTGTACAGTGAGCTTGTGGCTGTGTTGCTTCTAGAAGCGCTCGATTTGTCTCCGCTCGCCGCTCTGGGGACAGACATGATGGAGCTTGGCGGGTGATTGACTGAACCGACTCGACGACGTGAACAAGTGTACAGACGACATTGACACAACGTACACTTACACCTACACCTAGCATCTGCATCTTACACACAAACCACCAACAAACAAATACAAACAGAAACTGAAGAAACGCTGTTGACAACAACTAGCCTGTTATCTATCCCTATTCATCGATCACCTACCCGCTTTGCTGCTTGCTTTATCTCCTCTTGCTCTGCTCTGTTATCTGATCTGATCTGTGCCCCACTCGACTTGAACGACAGAACCAAGTGAATGTGTACTATCTGTACTCTGGCGCTTCTAGTCCGGAAATCATAGGCTCCTTTCACCCGCACACCAACCAAGACCACAACGCCACCGAATAGCGCTAAGGCCAAGTATCACCGCGCATACATCGCCCTTCTCCCTATCCCCATTCTCTTCCACCATTTTACGCGCAACACCCCGTCATGCCCCACCCACTCGAGCCTACGGTGCTCAACGCGCTCAACCTCAAGGTCCTGCGTCGCCACTGCCCGCAAATCAAGGACATCTATGATCAAGCGTCCTATGTCGTTCTCTACCGGTACTCCCCCCTCTTTAAAGGTTGCTCAGGCTGACACAACATGTGGGTAGGAGCATATTGAAGCATCCGGAGGACCCGGAATCGAAGGAGCGGGAATGGAGTAAGAAGGACGTACATGTGGAGGGGAGCATGTTCCTCGTAGAGTAGTACGTCCCTACCCGCTTTCCTCATCCTCTCTGACATTCATCTCCTTCCTCGTCCTTACTCCTGCTGCACTGCACTGCACTCCCCGTCTCCCCATTCGCCCACGCATACAGCGAGACCTCCCCACCGCACGGCTTCTACATCCTCAACCGCGAAGGGCTCTCCGACTTCAAACACGTCTTCCGTGCAGGGGACAAGTTCGAGTACAAATCCGATTTTGTCATCTTTCAGGGCGAGGGGAGTGCCGAGATCTGGGGACTGTGGATATTTGAGGAGGATCAGAGGAAGCGGTTGGCGAAGAAGTTCTTGTAGTGCGTGTCTTCCCCGAATTCCTTCTTTCTGTCGTTCCTTTCCACCATATTCCTGTTCTGCCATGATTGCTCACTCTTCTATCCCAACTGCTTCGCCTGTGAACAATGCTAACTTCGGAATAGTTACCATCAACTTGAAGTAGACCCCAGCACCGCTGCCCCATCCGACCCACCCATCCTCCTCCCGAACGGCAAACCCCAGCCCCAAACAGTAGACGAGCTATTCCAGAACCTCCTCACCCTCCCCCCTGCAGGAAGTACCACCGTTTCCTCCCCCGGCACAGTCACCAGCAGCATCAGCACCACGCCTATCCCGACCGCTCCCGTGCTTGCAACCGGGCCACCAACCCGTGCCCTAGGGAGAAGAAGGGGCGAATCCGTCTCCACTCCTTCCCAAGAACCGCAGAAACAGATCCTTACTGCCTCTACCGGTCCTGGCGGAGTACGAGAACGCGGCCGCGATCGCGAACGGGAGCGGACAGACCGAGAGGGCAGGGAGAGGGAAGGCAAGGGGAAGAAGCAACGACGGCCGAAGAGTGTCCCCCCTCAACAGGCGGATGAACCCTCGGTACATGCGCACGGCGTCCCGCCTCATATGCACATGCCTCAGCAATGGCCTGCACAGGAGATGAATGGACAGGCGGTGGTGCAGGACCCGAGCGTGAGCTTGAAACAGATTTTTGGACTGTTGCCTGGTCCGGCACCGGCTGCGCCCACTCCGCCTCAGAGTTCGCTCTTATCCCAGACTCAGCCACCGGCACAAGCACAAGCACAAACGCAAGGACAGGGACAGGGACAAGGGTCGACAGCCTGTCCGGGTGGTGGGTGGCCTCCTCTGCCCGGAGGGGTTGACAAGATCAAAGAAGGCCGAGAAGGGAAAGGACACGGGAGGAAGAAGAGCGCTTTACAATCCCAGATCCAGATCCAGATCCAACCTCAGCCTCAGTCTCAGTTAGGCCTAGCTCAAGCTCAAACGCCAACCGCAACGCAGTATATCCCCCAACCGGGGCTGAACGGCGAGAGCCTCGTTGATCCCGAATCTGTCAAAGAAGCAATAGTGGAGAAGATGCTCCTGCTCAAGGTTAACGGTGAGGCTGAGCCGGGTGCGGCGGGGAAGGCGTGCTCGAGCCAGAGGGAATTCGTACAGGAGGTGTTGAGGTTGATACATACTGAACGGGAGTGGACGAGGGAGCTTTGGGAGGCTTATGAGCGGAGGGTTGGGGGGGAGGGACGATGAGGGCCGTCCGGAGGGGCCGAGGTGGGGAGTTCGAGTGGGAGAAGAGAGAAGAGAAGGGCGTTGTGTAGGTGTGAGCAGGCTGGGGGGGGAGGGAGTGCGTGCGTAAGGCGCTATGAGGAGCCGAGCCGAGCCGGAAGGTGTGTGTTCACGCGCTGAGGGGCAGGCGGAAGTTTCGTCGAGTGTAGCATGTTTGTAGCTGCACGTGTGAGTGAGGTGGTGAGGAATCTGAATGTGAATGGGTTGTTGGAGATGCTTTGATTGGAGAGTGAGAGCTGTATGAGTGTTTGGATTGAGTGTTTTAAGATATGGCTTGTGCTGAGCACGCAGGGGGAAGATGAAGAGAAAGGACTAGGGGGAGTTCCTGATACAGAAGGAAGAAGGTGGAGGGCATCTGTAAGCGGAGGTCTCGCGGTTCCGGCTTTTGTTGTAAGTCCTAGTATCAGTAACGGACAGGTGCGTTTGTTGCGGCGTGCAACGTCTGTGTTCGAAGATACCGCGGAACAGTGGTAGTTGAGTTCTGACGGACAAACGAATCGCATTTCCGCAATCTCTTGTAGCTTGAAGACATCATACTCCACAGAGACAAACCCGTGTTGGTCGTACCATGCATAAGGTCAAACAATCGTTCGACCCGGGAAACGAGTGGGTGACGCATCAGCTGAGTTTGCAACAGGGAGATAGTATAAAGAGCGACGGAATCCGATCCTTCTGTTCCTGCAGCATCGTCTGATAGCGCCTATCGAACGTGCTGCGCATATTGTCACTGACAACTCATTGGCCAAGTCACATATAGACTGCAAGCTGCCAACACCGTGCATGCATCTTGCACGTGTACGGATTTTCATAGGCGCCGGAGCTGGGTGGCTGTTGGAATTCTCACGATCCTTCGTCACAGATGATGGAAACCCTTGTCCAGGGATGATCTCTCCAGTGGTCTTCTTTACTTTCGAATTCCGTAATGCAAGAGAAGGTCAAAACGGGTGCTGTGGAGTTCGGGGCCGATAGTGCTAGTTAAAAAATAACCTTCAATAGAGGGACAACGGCCCGCTGACAGGTTGCTTGGCCTCGATGACTGGAGTAAATCCGGTCGTGCCCCACAATAGAGTGTACGGCGAGTAGTCAAGCATTTAGACAAGGCGTCAATTGATCTGATTCATTTTCAACTAAACAAAATACGGGCTGGGCGGACCCTGAAACTCAAGCCACAGCCACAGGGTCTTTCATTAGACGTCCCTTCGGTGTGTCTGACAACGACGGTCTTCCCTTTGAGTGGGCTTGCACAGCGAAGTATTGTAATATCCGATTCATCAGTGCTTGGAAGATAACCTTGATCCACTGCCTCGTGCTCAGCTGACTTGCTATTGGACATAAGGCGGTGTGGCGGTAGACGTGTGACACAGATGGGGTATCGCTTGCTGTGATACCCTTGATGTGCAATGGCACAGACTTCATACAAAAACCAAGGATTTCATCCCCGCATCCTTCAGAATCTGCTTGCCTGCATTTGCAACCCCCCGAACTGCATATCACCGCATAAGTCATATTCATCATGGAGAAGTCCAGTGTTCCCCCTATGCAAGCCCCGATGTACCAGCAGCCAGTTGCAACCCCGGGCATGATGATGCAGCCTGGTGGCATGCGTAATTCTCGGAACAAGCCGTCCGATAAGGGGGGCAAGCGCGATTGGAACCACGGGCTGTGTGATTGTTTCGGCGAGTGCGGTACCTGTGAGTCTCCCTCGCCCATCCCCTCTACTTTCAATAGGCGCTAAACGGACCCGATAACAGGTTGCCAGTCGTTCTGGTGCCCGTGCATCACCTATGGGAGGAACAAGAGTCGCCTCAACGCTCTCCAGGAGGGGCATGTCCACCCCACGGGCGGCGACGGCTGCGGCTCGGACTGCATGGTCTATTGCCTCGTTAGCGTCTTCACGGGCTTGAGCTGCATCATGGAGATCATGAACCGTGGCAGTATCCGCCAGCGGTATTTTATCTCTGGCAATGGGTGCACCGACTGCATGGGCGCGTGGTGCTGCCACGCTTGTGTGATGACCCAGGAGTCGAGGGAATTGGAGGATGAAGAGAGGGCCCTCCAGGGAGGCGTAAGTAACAACCGAACCTTGCAACAAGACACATGCTGATGATCATGTCTAGCTTTAAATCTCTTTCACGATCAAGTTCCTTTGTGTTTGTCTCTTGAAATGTTCCTTCTTTATCTCTCCTCCTCTTCGGTCACTGTCACGAACTCTGTTTTGTCCACGCTTGCATTATGGGCCTCACCAGAATTATGAACAAACAATCCTACTGGATATGTCTTTGCCCATTTGTTCGCGTCCACGAATATTCCACGTAAACGGATAAAGTATACATTATATTCCAGTAAATGCGAGACGTGTGAGCAGAGTCACAGTCCGGACCGGAATAAAGTGACGCGTCAAGGGTCGCCTCCATCTCCGCATGCCACACTCTCCATCTCATCCTCTCACTCACCGAGAAGGGTAGACGATGGCGAACGCCCACGCTCACGCTGCACTACAAACATTCTCGATCGAGAATGATATACTAAATGTCCCCGCACAGCACGAGCTGTACAAGTTCGACACGGCGGCGGACAAGAAAGTCCAGCAGGCTGCGCCGTGGTCGAAGGAGTACGTCTTGCCTGCTGTCCCGTAGTCCGTAGTTGCTAACCGATTTCCGCGTGACAGCCCGCACCACTTCAAGTCCGTCAAGATCTCCGCCATTGCCCTCATCAAGATGGTCATCCATGCCCGATCGGGCGTGCCGTGGGAGATCATGGGTATGATGCAGGGGAAAGTGACGGGTGACTTGATCGTCATCCTGGATGCGTTCGCGCTCCCCGTGCAGGGTACGGAGACGCGTGTGAACGCTGCTGCTGAGGCGAACGAGTACATGGTGTTGTATCAAGAAGGGAGCAAGCAGGTGTGTGCCACTAAGCTGTCCATGTAACAGGGCTGATACGGGTTAGGCGGGGAGGATGGAGAACACGATTGGATGGTATCACTCGCATCCTGGATATGGATGCTGGCTATCTGGTATCGACGTTGATACTCAGAACCAAAACCAAAAGTATCAGGATCCATTCGTTGCTGTTGTGGTGAGTGCATATATGCGCGCCTATTGCACCAAACTGACACGGGGAAGGTCGACCCTAACCGTACCATCTCCGCTGGCAAGGTGGACATTGGTGCTTTCCGTACCTATCCTGAAGTGCGTTACCGCCTTGATGTTTATGAATGTTAAGTAATAGTCATATTGCTGTAGGACTACAAACCCCCATTATCCTCTTCCTCGCAGCAATACCAATCCATCCCGCTTAACAAGATCGAAGACTTTGGCGTTCACAGCGAACGTTATTACCAGCTACCGATCAGTATCTTCAAGTCGCCGCTAGATGACAAGCTGCTGAACTTACTATGGAACAAGTACTGGGTTGGGACGCTGTCACAGTCGCCGTTGATCTCCGTACGTCCAACCTGTCAGAACACCATGAGCCACCTTCTAACCTCACACGCTAGAACCGTTCCTATGCCATCTCGCAGACGCTTGATCTTGCCGAAAAGCTGCAGCGTATATCAGGCTCGTTGTCTTCTCGCCAACCTCCTGCTATCGCCCTTCCACCCCGTTCCTCAGCTACGAGCACCTCGGCACTCATGGCCAACCTCGCTACTAGTGATATCACCGCAACCCCTGGCAAGGGCAAGGAGAAGGAAACTGAGAAGCCTAAAGTCGAGAAGGAACGCAAAGTGGAGGAAACACAGCTGGGAAAGGCTGTACGAGACAGTACCAAGATCGCTTCCGAAGCACAACATGGGCTCATAGCTCAGGTGCTGAAGGATGTGTTGTTCTCGGCACGGCCTGGGGAAGGGATCGAGAGCTCGACTGCGGGGCTGGGCGGTGGAGTCACTGGTGTAGAACAGCAGATCGCGGTGGTCTCTGGATCGAGCTAGACAATGTGTGGGTATTGCGTGCATAATGAGATACGGTAGTAGATGTATGCATAGCGATTTCATGATCGACGAGTTTGACCGGGACTTATAGCTTGGTGATGCTTCCCCAAGGAGCTTGGAAGATAAGATGGAATTCTTGTTCATGATCATTGCACCGAACAGCGCTATGATTTGCAAGTTGAATTGCTTGTTACAGTGATACAGTGGAGTGCAAGCGTTGAGATGCAGTTGTTGAGTGATTGTGAGAAAGGAGAAATACAAGCCCATCTATCATGGAAGCGTGGACAGAAAAGTCACACTTAAGATCAGAAACCACGGCGAGAGATGAAGTTCTCCAAACATAGGTCAGCGATCAGTCCGGCTTGGAAGGACGAAACACACCTCCAGATCAGCCTTTGTGGCCACACCGAGCACGAATTTCCGTTCGCTGTCGGTGATGAGTGCGAACTCTTCAGTCTTGAGGAACTCCTCTAACTCTTCTAGCGGTGTATCGGGTGTGATGACCCGGTAAGGCTTTGAAGTAGTCGGGAAGCGGGTGGTGTAATTCGCTGTAGACCACAGTCAGTGAGGGTGAGACAATGCGCAGGCCATCAAGAGGGCCACAAACGGATGTCAAAACATACAGATCTTGACATCCGGGTTGATCTCTCCCTTCTCCCACCCATCCTTCAGGCTCCCTACACTCACGTAGCCCATCACTCTCCTCTCCTCACTCAGAATCGGGATCTGCGAGAAGTCCCGCTCGTACGCCTCGTTGATCGCCCTGCTTACGAGCGCGGTGGCAGGGAGACAGAAGGCAGGCGGGAGCTGAAGGTCTTCTACGACGGCTCCACGATACTTCTCTGGACCGGTGGGCAGCTGGCGTGAGTGGATGGTGGGAGTAGGAGTACCGGAGAGGGAGTGAGCATGGTGAGACGGGGCTGTGTGCGGTGGGTTGAGCGAGGATGACGAAGCGACCATTGCTGCCATTCTCAAGGGGAGTTTTGTACGAGCAAATAGAACAGATACGAATATAGTTGGAGGTCGTCGGTGGTGAAGACGATGACAGGACTATCAGCGTCGAGGAAAAGCCAGCTAGAGCAACAGCAAGTTGATTACCGCGGAGATCCGGCTGTTTTGGCTTCCAGGGTGCCTTACTTCTAGTGGCGGTGTAATGTCAACTCCATTAATATTGAAGCATGTGCATCCGGGGTTCTCCATTCCTTTTACTCTTACTACTTCATCAACTCGCTGATTCGAATGTCTTGAAAGTTTTTTGCGACCAATGGTCATGTCATATGTATTGGACAGGTGGATTTATCCATCTGTGAAGTCGATTCGCTTCTTCCGGGCTTGAGGCGACGCTTTGGTGACTGTGTGGATCGACCGGCCCTATATTATATTGCTTTCGGTGTTCATCGACACACTTGAGAAGCCCGGTTGCTCTAATAGGCGTTGTCATTGTTTACTTGGTATCTCTATGGCATCAAATACTCTGGGAGCGCGTCATCTCAAAATCCGACGCGTCTTCACTTCTATTGACGCGCCGGTCCTGATAGCTGCCACGCGTTGTATTTTCGGGCAGGAAACGCATCCATATCTCCTCGTACGCGTCTCTAACATCGGGGACGATATCAAAGTCAGCGATAGTTGATATCTTGCAGTAAGGTTTGATCGCGTCCACTGGCGATCCGCGGAACGTAAACAAGTCCCTCCTCTTTCCTTCATCATCCTTGTCCCACCCGAGCAGCTACTGAATTCTTGCCAGTGTATCTATTATCTCGAGGGCAAACCACATTCAATGTGAGGAAAGCCGCCAGTGACTTCAACCTTCGCGATGTATTTTGCTTCCGTACGTGGCCTTACGGACCGAGCCTCTCACCGTTCGGCAACCGAAACTCAAGACCACCTACAGTTTACTATCATTCCTGACGACTCTGGTTATATCCAGCCATTGGATAGACACCTGAAGCACACGAGAGCTCACTGGCGACTTTGTGCGAGGAGAACAAGGGATGGGTGAAGGTGTTTGTTGAGGTCGTCGATGAAAGACGTCCTCGACTGGACGATGGGCGGTGGGTGGTGCGAAAACTACGACGAAGGAGGTGATATGGATGGCGAGCACCGTTGGAGAGCGTATTTAATCAGCCTCGAAGTTCGTCGACTTTCCCTCACCACCTCACCAAACATCCTCATCACTACCCCCCGCCCAGCCAACCATCACTACGCGGTCAAGGTATACACCTTGCTAAAGTGGAAATTGGAAACTGACAGGACATGACGTAGATGAATTGCCGAATCGACCTTAATGTTTTCGAGCAGCTCTTGCTTGGCGAATATATAAACCTCCACAACACTCCCACCGCCCCAGGCGTAGGATACGACTTCGCCCGGCCTGCCAAGAGTCTCAACCAGGCGTCTATTCATATCGACCCGACGCTTCTCTCTGATTCCTTCCAGACAGCGCTCAATAACAGAATATTCGCGGATCCGTTTTTCTCCCCTTCTCAAAGTGCTCTTGGGAACGCCATGATTCTCCCCCCAAATATGTACTTCGGCTCCAGGTATGTCAGAAGAACTATCAGCGTGGAATATGTACTAACATATACCCCTAGCAATACTAATGACCACGGAAACTTACCGGTCAACCCATTCAGTGCTCTCGGTGCGAGAAATTACAACGCCAATTCTGATAGCCTTTCCAATTGCACGATTACTCCTTCAGTAACCTCTCCCACGGTCAACCCTCAACAGACTCTTACTGGCCAGTTCGAGTACATTCCCGTGGTCGAATCGGACGGCGTTGATAATGGATTGCCTGTCGATGCACCGCCTCTTTATTCACCTTCACCGCTCTCGACCCCTCGCTCGAGTGTCCGTTCCTATGACGAGCCTGTGCAGCAGGACGAGCCCCTTGAGCAGGAAAATCCAACTCCAGGTGTCATATCTGTGGGTAAATCTCATCCCGAACACACAAAGCAAAGCACTGGCCGTACCATCACTACCCGCTCCTACAGTAAACGACGATCCTCTGGACCCTATCACGATGCTGTCGCCGCAAGGAAGTCCAAGCGCGCCAAACAGGATCTCCAAGACGGCGATATCATCCGAGGCTTCGCCTGTCCATACACACCAATCAAGGGTTCTGCTCATCACTGCAGCGTTCTCCTTGGTTCGATCCATGAGGTCCCACGGCACCTGCACAAGCATGTGATCGAGGAAGAAGATCGTCTTCGCAAAGATCCCATGATGGACGCATCTACGCTTGTGTTTGGTGGTGCACCTGCCCTGCGACCCACTTGCGAGTCATGTGGAGAGGAATTCTCGAGAGTCGACGCATGGGAGAGGCACGTGAAGCGGTCGGAGGAGAGGGGCGAGTGCTCAACACCTGTCGGCATGCATGGAAAGCACCCGGCACTGCGAACATCAGAGACGCACGGTGCTGCCGAAGTGCTTGCCCGTATCTCTGTCATCGGCGAAAAGCGCTTTATCGAGGAAGTGATCGAAGTTTACTCGACATGGTCCGACCAGTACAGGTTCAAGAAGATCAAGGGAGGGAAAGAACAGCAGCCAGAGTGGTTCAGGACGGGCGAGATTCCGAAGAGGGGAACCATCCGAACCGCGTTCTCCGTTTTCTCCGAATGGGATGACGCACCTCGCAATCTCGATGCAACAGTAGCATCGACATCCACCACGACTCGCGCAACGGCGGCGTCGACATCTAGGACGACTCGTTCCCATCGGGCGTGACTGTATCACGATATTTCTTATTTTCGATCTCTTGTCAGGATTTTCCTCTCTTACCATCTCACGACATCTATATTCTTGTTCATTCTCACGTGGTAAATACTGAAGTTATCTATCAATATGTACAACGTGAGAGGTTTTGTACTCCAGTTAGCCTTCATAAAATCCAAGGTCGTTAGCATGCACGTGATAGAGTTTCCATAACAACCCCGCATGGAGCCGCACACCCGAGTGGCCGTGCCCCCCTGCCTCTATATTTTTCGCTCCCCTCCGCCTTTCCCTCTCTCTCCTCAGGACGCGCCTATTGTCCCACCGCAGCCCTCAACCCCCAGCTGTGGCGAGTCTACCGCGCGCTACTGTACTTTCCGAGAACGACCCTCAGGAGGGGAACCACTCAGCTGGAGTACGCTCTTGATTAGGGGAGTAGGCCTCCTTACCGGAGTTGGGAATATTCGTTTGGTTTGGGACGCGTTGGATGTGTTGGATGGGAGGGGACAAGTGGTTGGGTAGTGAACGAACGACTGGAACAGGCAGCAAATGGAATGATATTTGTGGATGGACAGATCTGGTGTATTAGATCGCGGGTGTTGGCATAGAACGATCCCATGGATGGTTCGAGTTGTTCAGTTTGTAGGACCTCCTTGGCCTCATCCTTCCCGGCATAAGGTAAGGGGGAAACCTTTAAGGCATCAAAGGATATAAGCACCATAGATGGATGGATGCGCCTAAGATGTGGGTAGATATGATTAGTTCGAGGGAATAAGTCGTCAACTCCTAAGCACCCAAGGAATCAGTCCAAAGCAGACATCACATATCGTTATTACTCATATCCTATCCAAGTTGTAACAGACTTGTATGTACACATTAAGACAACTCTCGAATGAACATCGAGGCACAGATAGGAGAGTACTAATGCACCGTGTATGTACATGAAACCATGACAGGCGTTTGGTGGGTTTGCGTGGGTAAGACGGGGGAAGGAGAACGCAGGTATATGCGGAGATGTAGACTTCGTGAGAGGGAAGGGAACCCATTAATGGGTTGGTTCGTTGGGGGAGATCAGCGGATGGGCCGCACAGAGCGAAGAGCATGATTTTCCCTCCCTTGTCTGCCAACGAGTGGCATCATCCGCACCACTCTCCCCACCTGGACCCCCACCTCCTCATTATCCCCGTCCCCATCCACGTCCATCTCATCAACCAACTCGAGTCCCAGTCCCAACCCGCGTCGCTCGCTCGGCTGGCTCTCGGGCGTAGGGAGCTCCACATTCTTCACCCACGGTCTGAGCTTGCCTTGGCTTGCATGAGCCCGTTCTATATCCGCTAAGACGGTGGCCTTTGACGAGCCGGGGGGGAATAGGAGGCGAGGGGGTGCAGCGAGGGGAGGGGAGTAGTCTGGGTGAGAAAGGGGGAGTTGAGATGCTTCGGTGTTCAGGGGTCGGTTGTAGAACGGGTTTGGGTATTCTTGCCGCACGCCTCGGCTAAAGGGTGAAGATGTTCGTCAGTCAGGTGTCTGAGAGCAAAGAAGGCAAACATACAATACTCGGATGATCGTCTTTTCCCCATTGGCAAAACCAAAACCTCCAGTAACCTCGCCAGATAGCTCCCGCTGACGTCGACGCTGAAGCATCCGTTCCTCTTCTTCGGCAGTGGCGAGGAAGGGGTTGTCTTCTTCTCCAGGTGGGACACGGTTGGACTTACGAACAGGTGTGCTTGGAGGAGACGGCGTTCGCATACCTCGCTCGACCAGGGGGTTGAGGAATGGAAGCTGGGTAGGCTGCAAATCCTCATGTGCAGTCTCGTCAACATCCATAGTCCTCGTCATCGCAGCAATCGAAGTCTTGTCCTTCTCCGAATGCTCAAGTCGTGCCCTCTTCCGAGCAGGTTGTTGTCCAGGGAAGACCAGCTTCCCCACCTTACCCATCGTACCTATCGGTCTAGCGCGAGAAACGCGTTTCTTCTGTGTCTGTGGAGGAGTGGGGATGGTCGAGTGTTGTCGCTTGAGGTTGGGACGCGCTGGAGGGTGATGTGGCCCCGTGGGGTGGGGGGCAGCGATGGGAGAAGAGTCAAGCGGCATCGTCCAAGTGCGTGTAGGAGGAGGAGGATCGCGGTTGGTAGAATGAAGGAAGAAGAACGACTAAACGGTCGCGCTATGGCCTCAAAGACTCGAGCGCCGTCTATTCGCGTGCGTGTCTTGGGTATTGCGTCGTCGTCGTCGATGGTCAACTAGCTGAGATCCCCAGTTCGGTATGTGCAATGTACTCCCCGTTCCAAGTGATATGTACGAGTAAAATGAGAGGCAACACGAGAGTAGGAGGAGGAGGAGATGAGATGGGCCAATCGTTGGGTCAACAAGGGCAGTGGTGGCGGATACTTCAACATGGAAGGTGCGGATACATTAAAAATCCCTGAACGGGGTGTTCGGGGTCTCTTTGCCACGCAATAAAATGAAATGCATTACCAAATGGATATCAAACGACAATGAGTAAGGCAGTGTATCGATGTCGACATCGATATCTCTGGTGGAGGCGGCGATTATGTGGCAAATCCTCCTGCTTAAGACGACGACGACGAACGGGGCCATCGACCTTCTCTAGCTCTCCTTGGCCTCAGCTCCTCTCCCTCAATCAACCACCGAATACGCCTATCGCCATTGCCCTGGTCTATCGCCTCCCACTGGTCTGTATACCTCGAAATCACGTCCACGACTTTGAGGATTTCCAGCTTGCGCGTCTTGGTTTTCCAGCCGGTTGAGTTGGCTCCAACCTGCCGGACCTCGGCAACCACCTCACAACCCCCTTGCATGTCCACTCACTGCGTACCGGCCCAAGTATAGCGTGCCCTGGGCACGTTGTTTGCTGGTGGGTGGTCACCGGGGTGTTGGGTGTTCGTGGACCGGGCCACCTGGCTCCCTTCTCCCTCTCTCATGGGAGCGTCCGAAGCACCTC